TTCCAAAACTCATTCACATTACGATCCCCTCCATCGAAATTTTCGTGTTCACTCTCGGGGACATTCTTCTTCATCAAAGTTATGCAAATAGGAATCGCACGTTTCTGGTTCATTTCAATTAAAACCTTCATTTCAATTTCAGAAGTAACCATTATAGGTGGAATTGAAATGGATGTATGCTCGCCCATTAGAAATCCCAATTATATGGCGCACTCAGAGGAATCGACTTTCAGCAAGTTCTGTATCTCATTGTACATTCTGCATATGATGTACTTGATGTTTTTACAATTGCAGTACAACCATGTCTTTCACTCGTCCATTTCCACACTCATCGATCATTTTCATTATTTTGAAATTTACCAAGGTAACAAATCGGGATAGCAGCTAATCCTATATCTTCATTAGGAAACATCATTTATTAAAAAAATTGTAATTACGAAAATAAAATGACGAAAAAAATATGACACAAAAAAAGGCCTAGGCGGCCCGGGCCGGATGTTAACAGCCAACCCGGTCTTTTAGCCGGTTGTCTTCTACATTTTACATCTGAACAAATGAATTTTTTTCCTTGTTTTTGTTAAAAAAGATTATACATCCGTTTAAGACTGTAATATTTTATTTTTCTAAAATCATACATTGAAATAAGATTTAAATATTCAAACAATGTACTAATTTAACTAAAATGAAATTAAACATACGTATTTATACTTACCAATTTCAAGTGTCGACTGTGAGTAATATTTTTTTGTTGAGCCTTTGATAATTTTTTGAAATTTCAATGTTCAAGCAGATGGAAGAGGAAATTTCTTTTTAACTGTGTTGGAGAATTTGATAAGGAAAGTGATTTCATTTTGAAATTTAAGTGGGATTGTTTGGATTTATTAATTTTTGAAAGAGAGTATTATTGTTTTTTGTAATTACCAGACATAATTAAGGGCAAAAATGACATTTACTCTTCAAAAGGCTCTTTTGGTGAATGGCAAAAAAAAAATTGGTCAATTTGAAAAATTGGTCTTTTGACTGGGGGGTTCTTAAAAGTAACCCTTGTTTCTTTGCCTTTGGTCAGTTATTTTTTCATAGGATAATTATCACAAAAAATCCTTATTTTTCAAATTTTTTGTGAAAAACGTTCCTATCTTTCAGTTTTTGACAGATTTCATCATCATTTTTACCTTTTTTGTACAAAACATTCTTCTGTCAACTCTCCATTAAAATGCTCTGTCAAATAAAATAAAATAAAATGGATATTTTCTTTTCAAAGGTAAAAATAAAATATCCATTTTATTTTATTTGACGGAGCATTTTAACGGGGAATTGAAATAATGATGTTTTGCGCAAAATAAGGTAAATATAAGGGTGAAATCTGTCAAAAAATGAAAGGTAAGGATGTTTTCCACAAAAATCTTGAAAAGTCAGGACGTTTTGTGCTAATTACCATTTTCATAACAAATTATATTTATACATTCGTCACATTTTTCTCATTAATTTTAAATGCTTTCGAGTGAAGTTTAATGATCTCTTGAAAACATTTTAAAGTTAAGCGAGTGAAGCGTGACGAAGGCATAAATTCAACGACTGATGAAGTTTGGTGAGTAAGTGATGGAGTGCAATATATTAAATTTCAACGACCACTCGAAAGTATTTGAAAGTTCAGCAATTAATGAAACATGGTATGTGATGGTATTGGGGGTATAAATTCAATGACTAATTAAACATTTAATTAGGAGGGAGAGATGTCAAATTGAACCGCTTGATTTATTGATTTACTATCTTGATTATATCAAGTTAAAATTAGACTAGAATGAAAAATTTAAAATAAAGTAAAATGGTTTGGCTCGAATCGATGTGCTTCTCCAGCTCGAGTCCATGGAAAATAATTATTGATCTAAGCTAAAGTTGAACCTAGGGATGTCAACAAACTGAGTCGAGCCGATTCATGAGTCGAAACTCAAGGCTTGGGATCGGCTTAAGTAAAATGGTGCAGGTTTTTTGGGCCCGAACCTAGCCGAACTTTTGCTTGATCAAAAAATCTGAGCTCAACCCGAACTTTCGGCTAGGACCTTATCGAGTCGAGTAGGCTCTTGGTTTTTTTTTATTATTATAATAAGTAGGAAGCAGCTTGTAGCTACAGTTGCTGCTGCCTTATTGGTTGATGCCCTTTTATTTATTTATTTATTTATTTTTTATTTTTGTAGCGTGATGCTGCCTTTTGTAACTTCATTTTTTTTATGAGCCTGTTTGAGCCAGCACGGGCAGGCTAGGGCTCGGCTTGAGCTTTTTTCGAGTTAAGCCACGGGCGGTCCGAACCAACGAGCTAAATTATATCCCTAGTCGAACCCAAAATTAGTGTGAACAAGAAATTGGATGAGGACCAATTCGATACAAAAGCTAAAATTTGGAAGGGAAACACTGCAATTTTCCCTAATAAATTTGTTAATATCTATGCATCTTAATATAAGGACATATAGCGGTCATTTTCTTGAACAATGCACAAAAATAACAGCAAAAAATTCAAGGGATGAACGAATATTGCAATTTTGCAATAAACCATCAAAACAATTGGACAATAAAAATGAAATGAAAATGTTTATTACACTTGACAGAATTTTACTATAATTACTATATAATCGTGTAAGTAACTCAATCCTCGATATTTCCTCCACACTTTCCAGTATTTATTTTGCATTTTCATATTCAGGTGATGGTTTCTAGATGCTCACATTCTAATTTTAGTGATGCACGATTTGCCTCCACAAGGCATTGACTAGACTACTTAAAAAAAATTGACTACTTTTTGGCAAGACAAAGTCTTACTTTGACTTAACTATTCTATTTTCCAATTATAATTGGAGCATTAATTACTTTGATCATTCCATTTTGGCCACCCCTTGTCTAGACCAGCAGGCTATTGCAGTGATTATTTTTGAAAAATAATGAAAATTAATAGAGAAGAAAAATCATTGTCTAAAATATTACCAAAATCCAAGTAGAAAGGGGTGCATAGAAGTGAAAACTATCGATTCATAGTTATATTAATGTGCACATACAAATTGTATTACTCTCAGTTTCCCCTATGTAAATATTAACAACACTTTTGAGTGTTTGATATGCTTATAAACTCATTAAATAGACTCGTCATTCCTTTTCAACTTACATGTTGATATTATTCCGCATTGATTGTGAAAAAGGTTAGTAATCAGTTTATAAGTGTAAATGGAAAATTCATCTCTCGACCTAACTTTTAGAGTTGAGAATGCTCAAGAACATCCGACACTGGTATCATAACCCGAGTTATCAACAAGTTTCAGCTCAATAGTACATGAAAGATACGGATTCGCTCCCACCCAGAGCCTGGTGTGTAAGAGGGAGATTGTTGAAATTATCCCACATCGTTGCGGAAGGAACTGGTGATAAATTTATAAGTATAAAGGAAAATTTTATTTCTTGAGCTAGTTTTTTAGGTTGAGAAAGTTCAAAACCACCCAACATTACATGCTTTAATCCTCCAATATATATACTGACAAATGAATTATACCATTTAATATCTCTACCAACCAAAAATTTGTAATAGAAATGTGGACCCACTTTTTCCACTAATAGGTTACCCATCATTTTAGAACCTTTCTTTGGGACAAGTTTAATCGAAATGATTAGACCTCCGACTCGCCAATGGGGGAACACCTTAATATTAATAGGGCGGCAAAAGATTTATTTCAAGAACTTGCCGCCTTTGACCCACTCGAATTTTAGTCCTTATCAGGCGATCGAAAAGTCCAAAAAAAAAAATAATAATAATAATAAATAAATATATTCAAAATAATTATATTAATTTACAAAATATTGTCTCGATTAATCCTATTTCATTAGTTTTGATCTGAAATTAACTAATAGTTATTATTTATGGTTTTCTATCTTAAGATAGTAGTCAAAATTGACGTCCACACAGCTCACCCAACTCTTTGTTCAAAGTCATCATATTTACAATAGAATTATACACACGAGCAAAGCTAAATTGAAGTTATAATAGATTTTTTTTTAATTAAAATGACGTTTTAAAGCAGAAACGAAATCGGATTATTAAATTCAATTCTAGTTACTGTCTTTGACTTGTTATTTTGAATTTACTATTTGACAATATTTAAATATGACTATGTTTTACAAAGTTTGTCATGGATATTTCGTAACAATATCCATAACCCACATAGATGAGTGGAGAACGACTAAAAATAAGTCGAAAAAGGTGACTTCATAATTAAATTAAAAGTTTAAAATTCGTTTATTAAATCCATTTCTTATTTGATATCTATTTTTAACAGTTTTTCAACGTAAAAGATGTGTTGCAATAAAAAACATAATTCGAAAATAAACTGAAAGATATGACATTAAAGTGAGAATTAAATAATAATTAAATTATTAAGGGCTCTAAAATCCATTTTTGGTTTGCTACTTTGAACTAAAGTAATAAGTAAAAATCTCGATATTAGGCCCTGTTTGGTTTATATCTTTATCAAATTTTGATAAAAGTTGATGAAATGTATGATTAAAAAATTATAAAACCCCTTAAAATTTATTATTAAAATTAATTATTACCTTTCATTTAAATTTTAATAATTTTTTATAGCAGACTAGCTAGTCATAGCACTAAATTAAAGACTATAAATGCAGTTGACAACCAGATCAGAATCTGAAAGTCTACGCCCAAGTCATCCATGGCATGGCCCACCTCCTTGTCTTTATTTAGCGCTCATTTGGCCTAATTATTCCGATAAATAGTAAGTTTTCGAAGAACGTGTGATTAAAAGAGAAGGAAATTTTTTTTGATTTATTTATAATATTATTTTATTAGAGAATGTGTGGTTGATAAAAAGAGAATACTAATTTAATGGAGAATAATGGGGTAAATAGGGTTTATACTTGGCATCATAATCTGAAGTTAGGCATTTAATGGGCCCTATAGATTTGATTTGTATTAATCAGATAAACGCCACAGGCACTAACCATGAAGCTTCTTTCGACATAGGAGGAAGCTTACTAGCTAGGAATAACCACTAAAAAAATCCACTCAACTCTCAGCAATATATACAGACAATGGTCATGCACATTCTTCAGTTGATAATAAAGCATGGCTCACTATTATCCCAGCTTCGAGTTTTCCGATGTTTTCGAGTTCAATGACTGGCTTAATGAGGAAGATCAAGTTTTTGGCTGTCCTCAGAATCTGAACTATGCAGCAGATGAAATTTCAAACTCGAGTGGAATAAGCAGAAGCAGCAGCAGCCACCGTGAAGGACCAGGCAGTAGTAAGCAAGTTATTAATGAATATTGATTTATCGATATTCTGATGTAAATATGCATGCATATATATAATAATTTATCTGGGATTTTTACATATAATCAGGAGATGGTGGGAATGGTAGGGAGAAGAAACAAAACACAGAGAAAGTTGCTTTTAAAACTAAGTCAGAGGTTGAGGTACTAGATGATGGCTTCAAGTGGAGAAAGTATGGAAAAAAGATGGTAAAGAACAGCCCAAATCCAAGGTACAAGCTGGTTTTAGTCTTCATACTATTCATTGTGTACTTATTTAGATGCTCGTCTTTTTCAAGTCTGTTGTCCCAAATGGGAAGACGACGATAAACTATTTCACAATCGATACATTTTACTTTGCCATTTTTTCATTTGATAAGAAGATATAAAGCATGTTTGGGAGTGATTTTGAAAATTGATTTTTTGATTGTTGGGAAAAAAGTGGGGTCCACATGTGAGAGAAGAAGTCAAATATGACGACTGTAATAGTGAAATAACGGTCAAAAAATCACTTTCAAACAGAGTGATAATTTTTAGATATGTCCAAAATATATTGAGAGGAGGATAATACCGAATTTGGGAAAACGGATCTAACTCATAAGATGAGCAAGGAAATAGGGATGAAGTGCGTGGGAGTTCACGGAAAACCCCAAATTTGAAAGCTCAATTCACCCTATAGTAAAAATTTCTTATCTAGTCATGTCATTAGAGTCAACGATAAAACTCGAACTGCTCATCAATCTATTCTCAAACTGAATATGTGAAAATTTGTACAAGACTAGATATAGGATAAAATTGTAATTTAATTTTTGTCTTTAAGGTGACAATAAGTGATCTTTCGGTTTTCATGTCTCAATTACCTTTAATTTGTACCTTTTAGTAACATGGATGACAAAAGAAGAGTAACAATATCTATAGTATCTATCCATATGGGAGAGGTCCATCGTCTACAATTGGAATAAGGTTATGAATTATGCTAAAGGTACAGCCTCCTTTACATGGAGGTTGACAGCCCCCTCACAACAGGGGAGCCCGCACCTTTTTTATTGGCGGGCCCCTCCTGTTGCGAGGGGGGTGTAATTACTAGGATTGTACAAATATCAAAATCCTAATGATATTTAATAGATCAAATTACATAACTATCTCTTCAGGTTTATAACTATTACAGAAACACCTTTCTCTTATAAAAAATGTCAGAAATCTCCCTTGAAGTTTACTTTTCATAACAAATTCTCCACTGTTAATTAGAAGCAAATATACATTTTTCATTTTACCCCTCTATCATATTTTAAAATTGCTATTTATTATGTTTAAACTGTGTATTTTTTCTTAGTTTTTAAGATATACTTTTTCACACTTTTCATTTAGATGAATCCAATTTATAATGCTTGACTTAGTAGTGTTCTCTAATTTTTTGTACTCTTTATACTCTTTACATTACACTATATTAAGTTCATAAAATTAAAGTAACATTTTTATCATAATATTAAAAATGCACAAAAGTTGGCACCAAAACTTTAAATTTTAGATTTTTTATTTAATTTTTTTAGTAAATATATTAGATCATTTTAGTTTGTCCATTAAATGAGAAATCGATATTCAAAAAATTATGATTAAGTCACTTTTTAAAATTAACACAAATTATTTGTTTAAAATTTAAAAAACAATTATAATGATACATATAACATGTAAGGAAGGACAAAAATAGAAAATTTATGTTAAGAAGGGAAAAAATTATAGTAATCTAATCTCGGAGTATGAAGTACCGACTACTTCCTATCACTATTTAAACCTATTTGGTGTAGAGAAGAAATTTTTTTTTAATCATTTTTAATTAAAAAAAAGTTGAATTATGTGGTTGAAAAGTTGTGAGTCTTAAATGTGTAGTTAGAAATTAATTATTGATTTTGACTTAAATTTTTATTAAAATTTTTAGCCACACCAAACAAGGGATTAATTAACATTATATTAAATACGACATAGGAGGAAGCTTACTAGCTAGGAATAACCACTAAAAAAATCCACTCAACTCTCAGCAATATATACAGACAATGGTCATGCACATTCTTCAGTTGATAATAAAGCATGGCTCACTATTATCCCAGCTTCGAGTTTTCCGATGTTTTCGAGTTCAATGACTGGCTTAATGAGGAAGATCAAGTTTTTGGCTGTCCTCAGAATCTGAACTATGCAGCAGATGAAATTTCAAACTCGAGTGGAATAACCAGCAGCAGCCACCGTGAAGGACCAGGCAGTAGTAAGCAAGTTATTAATGAATATTGATTTATCGATATTCTGATGTAAATATGCATGCATATATATAATAATTTATCTGGGATTTTTACATATAATCAGGAGATGGTGGGAATGGTAGGGAGAAGAAACAAAACACAGAGAAAGTTGCTTTTAAAACTAAGTCAGAGGTTGAGGTACTAGATGATGGCTTCAAGTGGAGAAAGTATGGAAAAAAGATGGTAAAGAACAGCCCAAATCCAAGGTACAAGCTGGTTTTAGTCTTCATACTATTCATTATTTACTTATTTAGATGCTCGTCTTTTTCAAGTCTGTTGTCCCAAATGGGAAGACGACGATAAACTATTTCACAATCAATACATTCTACTTTGCCATTTTTTCATTTGATAAGAAGATATAAAACCTGTTTGAGAGTGATTTTGATAATTGATTTTTTAATCGTTGGGAGAAAAGTGGGGTCCATATGTGAGAGAAGAAGTCAAATATGACGGCTGTAATAGTTAAATAACGGTTAAAAATCAATTTTTTTGGAAAAAAAATCACTCCCAAATAGACTGATAATTTTTAGATATGTCCAAAATATATTGAGAGGAGGATGATACCGAATTTGGGAAAACGGATCTAACTCATGAGATGAGCAAGGAAATAGGGATGAAGTGCGTGGGAGTTCACAGAGAACCCCAAATTTGAAAGCTCAATTTACCCCATAGTAAAGATTTCTTATCTAGTCATGTCATTGGAGTCAACAATAAAACTCGAACTGCTCATCAATCTATTCTCAAACTGGATATGTGAAAATTTGTACAAGACTAGATATAGGATAAAATTGTAATTTAATTTTCGTCTTTAAGGTGACAATAAGTGATCTTTCGGTTTCATGTCTCAATTACCTTTAATTTGTACCTTTTAGTAACATGGATGACAAAAGAAGAGTAACAATATCTATAGTATCTATCCATATGGGTGAGGTCCATTGTCTACAATTAGAATAAGGTTATGAATTATGCTAAAGATACAGCCTCCTTTACATGGAGGTTGACAGCCCCCTCACAACAGGGGAGCCCCCACCTTTTTTTATTGGCGGGCCCCTCCTGTTGTGAGGGGGTGTAATTACTAGGATTGTACAAATATCAAAATTCTAATAATATTTAATAGATCAAATTACATAACTATCTCATCAGGTTTACAACTATTACAAAAACACCTCTCTCTTATAAAAAATGTCAGAAATCTCCCTTGAAGTTTACTTTTCATAACAAATTCTCCACTGTTAATTAGAAGCAAATATACATTTTTCATTTTACCCTCTATCATATTTTAAAATTGTTATTTATTATATTTAAACTGTATGTATTTTTTCTTATTTTTTAAGATATACTTTTTCATACTTTTCATTTAGATGAATCCAATTTAGATAAAAAGATACCATTATAAATCTTACTATAAAATTATTAAATAAGATTTTTTTATTTTTTTTTAAAGATATGATCGACAAATAAGTTACAAATCAACATAAAACAAATGTTTTGCAATAATTTAATAAAGTTAGATGAAAATTCTAATACCATTATAATATTGTTATAAAATTATAAAATATATAATTTTCAAATACGATTGACAAATAATTAACAAATCTCCATAAATAAATATTTTAGAGTAAATTAATAAAGCTAGTTGAAATTTCATTAAAAATTTTATAATGCTTGACTTATTAGTGTTCTCTAATTTTTTGTACTCTTTATACTCTTTACATTACACTATATTAAGTTCATAAAATTAAAGTAACATTTTTATCATAATATTAAAAATGCACAAAAGTTGGCACCAAATCTTTAAATTTTAGATTTTTTATTTAATTTTTTTAGTAAATATATTAGATCATTTTAGTTTGTCCATTAAATGAGAAATCGATATTCAAAAAATTATGATTAAGTCACTTTTTAAAATTAACACAAATTATTTGTTTAAAATTTAAAAAACAATTATAATGATACATATAACATGTAAGGAAGGACAAAAATAGAAAATTTATGTTAAGAAGGGAAAAAATTATAGTAATCTAATCTCGGAGTATGAAGTACCGACTACTTCCTATCACTATTTAAACCTATTTGGTGTAGAGAAGAAATTTTTTTTTAATCATTTTTAATTAAAAAAAAAGTTGAATTATGTGGTTGAAAAGTTGTGAGTCTTAAATGTGTAGTTAGAAATTAATTATTGATTTTGACTTAAATTTTTATTAAAATTTTTAGCCACACCAAACAAGGGATTAATTAACATTATATTAAATAATTGAGATCCACCATTTAATTGGATCCAAACATGAATAAATGATGCACATATCTATCACATATTTAATGACAAAAATACTTAATTCCATACTACGAGAATGCAAAAATTTCTCTCTTTAAGAATGGAGGTTTTTGAAATTTTAGGGTTGGTATCCCTATAATTGTCATAAATTTCAAGAGAGATTTTTGAGATTTGCTTTATTCATTAATAATAGTGGTCATTACTGATTTAGACGATACTAAACCTCTCAATTTATTGTCCAATGTATAGAAATGCAACTTCATTGAACAATGAATCGAAAGGACCTTGAGTCATGATGATAAGAACTAATGATAAATAACTTTACTCTTCGATTGATGGTCGCAATATTTCATTAACCACCATCCCGACTACCACATTTGTTAATGTTAGTTAACGTCAATAATAAGGATTAGTTTGAGCCCTTTTTTTTTCTTTTGAAAAAAAAAATTTTATTTTTTCAGAAGAATGTATAATTAATAAGCATGAAATTTTTTTATTTACGTATAAAATTATTTTATTAAAAAATATGTGATTGAAAATAAATTTTTTTAAAATTGAACTCAAACATGAGCTGAATAATATTATTCAATAATAAAAGGGATAATTTAAATTGCTGTAGTCTTCTCTTTAAGAAAGCATTAGTCCTACGATAATATTTATACAGAAATCCAAGCTCGAAGGGCCATATGTTACCTCTTAAATTCCATTTTCAGAATTGCTAATTTTTTTTAATGGATTATATTATTCATAGTTGTTCAGAAGAACACACACTAATAGAATTCAAACTCATGAACTACACTGTGATGTATAGGAACTACTATAAGTGCTCAGTTGAAGGATGTCCAGTAAAGAAGAGAGTTGAAAGAGACACTGAAGACCCAAGGTATGTGTTAACAACTTACCATGGCATCCACAACCACCGAGACCTTCTCAGCTATGATTTCGAAACCAATCTTAGAAATTAATTTTCTTATATTGTGTAACTCTAGTTGTACAAGAAATATTGCTGATAGAGTCAGCATCTATGATTTTAACATATTTGGTATGCAGTATTGGGTAGAAGTCGATGATATAATGAACTAGAATTTGGCCTTTTCTTCTGAGTACTAAAGGACGTCTTGGTTTCTGCTTCATTACAAAAACTTCTTGAAGAAGTTAACTTAGATCAATTTCCTCTAAAATCTTTTCTAGCCAAACATAGCAGTTTCAGAATATCATCTAAATATGCTCAAAAGCAATTTCTTAATCTCAAAAATTGGCTTTTGGCTTTTAAAAGCGTGCCAGCGAACCCTAAGTCCTATCCAAGTATAACCACCAAACATGGCATGTAATCAAGAACGTTCCATCAAATTATGCAATCACAGGTACAAATGTAAAAAATGTTCATCATCTGATCTACTCCACAAATTATCATTGCATTATTCAACTTCTAATGCTATTTCATTCAATGTAAAGGCATCACGTAGTCGAAATAACAGAATGAGACATACCTCACAGAACAGTTCGATCGGGAGGCATGATAAGCAATTCAAGTGACTATAATACCCCTGATTCTCGGAGGACCGAGGACCACTTCCCGAGGCACCTATTCCTACTTCAGATAGCTACGATTTACATTGGAAGAAATCCAAAAGATTTGCCAGAGATGCCCAGAGAAACTTCCACTTTAATGAAGCTGTAACCCGTGTTGAAAATGGAAGGGCTATACTGAAACGAAAGAAAAATACAACCTACGATAGTATATAAAGCATGAGATCGAGAAATAGTCCTCTGTCAGGTCCTCCGCTTAATCTTTCTTTGAGCTTTCAAATCGACCACAACTACGCTAATGTTATCCTTGCTGCCTTTTTGAAGAGCACGGTTAGACAGGTACTCAGCAGCAGCTTGAGCTGCTGGATCAGTTCCTTCACCCCTTTCTAAGGGAAGTGTTGCCCCATTATTTTTATGCCAGACGAGAATCCTTTTGCGAGCCATATCACAAGCCTCCTCGTTCGTCATGACATCCCATAAGCCATCACTAGCCAGAATAAGACAGTCATCTTCTCTAGTTCGAGGGATGAACATTACTTCAGGATCCGGAATAATCCAAGGTTTCAAATATCTGTCTCCTGCAACATCGAAGAACGATAATGCTTAATAAAATTCAATTTACTATCAAAATACAGAAATTAGCTTTGATTAAGTTGCATATATTATATTAGTAATGAGTTTCAACTACAATTACACCAGACA